TTCAGGTTCATATGTTGCTATCAAACCACCACACAAATCATAGTTGTATGTCAAATTGACATATTCATGGCATGATACCAAAATATTAGATATAAATGAATACACAGTTTTGCAAATATTAAAGATGCAAATCAAAACCAATTATAATGCAGAAATATATAAATAAACTCATCATAGATACTAGGATTGAAATTTTGTATTTGCGCCAGACGCGCGTTTCGTCTACAAAAGACTCATCAGTGACGCTCGAATCAAAAAAGGTTAAAAAGGCCAAATAAAGTACGAAGTTGAAGAGCATTGAGGACAAAAAATTCCTAAAAGCTAACTCACTGAGTCACAATCGAATCTATCTACCACCCCCACCCTCCCCTCCGTTAAAAAAAAATTAAAAAACAATTTGCCTACCTACCTACCATATTTTTTTTGGCCTAGGCATTAAATACTTCGAAAACACATCAAATGGATTAGTATATTCACATGGAACCTGATAACAAATTTCATAAAGCTGTCAGTTGTAGCTCCAAAGAAAAATGCGACGAAATTTCCTACATGGCCATTAATGTGATATAATAATATAAGTATTCGGTGAACATGAAGTTGATGAGCCATGAACCCCAAAACGCAAAACAAAGCATAGTATGTTCACGTGAAGCTTCATATCTAATTGCAGGAATCTCTGATCTGGAGTTCCTTGGGTACATGCGACAGAAATTTCATAGGACGGACGGATAGACATGGGTAAAAGTAAGGCGAAAGTAGTTTACCGAAGTTTGAATCTCGTAAATCAATTAAGTAAAGACACATCAATGTAACAAACAGAAACTAAGGGAATCTTATGAACTCCAAAAGGAGCGAAACCATATGCGTCTACATGGTTACCTTTTATTTTTTTGCATGCATCACGCGCCATTCGAATACACATGCTGTCAAAATGTTGCAATCAGGAAAAGGACACAATCGGTAAAATTTCAGATCGGACGACAATGTTAGGAGATCTAAGAGGACGTGTTTTTCAACAAACAATCGGCATTTCCACGGGAACCAAATGCCTCCTGTTCTTTTATTGATATGAAGTTGACTTCATACAGGAGCAACTTGGGAAGAATGAAAAGAAGCTAGCATTATCCTTTCACTTCACGTTCCGCTATACACTATCTGCAAGTTTGTGAAATAGCGTCTGCGTCATTTTATGAAACAAAGACAGAGAAACAAATACACAGTTAGGCTTAAACACAACAGATACAGTTGTTCCTGTCTTATGTCTTGACTTACATCTACAAATTGACAATGAGGGTCGATTGAAAACAAAACTTTACGACAAAAGAGAAGATTTTAGCTTCCCAATAGTGAACTTTCCATTTATATGTAGCAAAATCTCAGCAGAGTCTGCATATGGAGTATATATCTCCCAGTCGATTAGACATTCCAGAGTTTGCGTTTTTTATCATGATTATTGAGGGTTGCTGCTTACAAGGAAGCTATTAAATTAAGAGTTCGAATTGGTGAAGTTGAAATCATCCCTTTAAAATTTACGGACGCCATCACGAGATGGTTGACCGTTATGGAATATTTTTTTCCCAGATGTTCCAAATTGTAACCACTATCCCGTCCTCTTTTCTTCGAATGTGACCTAGCGAATAACTTTTATCACCGGGTTTGTATTGTACTTACAAGAGCAAAATGACGGTGCCACATGTGGAGCAGGATGTTCTAATCCTCCCGGAGCACCCGAGATCTCCCGCAGTTTTTGTCGCGGGTCGTGTTGCTCAATCTTTAGTTTTCTATGCTGTGCCTTGTATACTGTTGTTTGTCATTTGATCGTTTTTGGGGAGACGTTTAAGTTTTCTGAAATCCTATACTGCTGGTTGTTTCTAAAATCATTTAGCCGTTTCTAGGAGTGACCAATTGAAGTTGCATGTTATCTTAAAGAGAGGCGAAAGATACCAAAGGGACATTCAAACTCATAAGTCGAAAATAAGCCATGGCTAAAAAAGAAAAAGACCAACAGACAAACAATTAAACACAAAACACAACATAGAAAACCAAAGACTGAGCAACACGAACTAACTATTTAATAATGGTTTAACTGTGAAGAACGCTTACCAAAGCTATGCAAAAATAAGAAAATAGGATGATCAGATCACTACATAAAGACGTAAACTATTGTTTGCCCAGGTGGCTGCTCCTACTTCTTTAATCATTCATTGAAAAAAAATACTGATTTCAATTATGAAAGAAGTACATTGGAAGTAATACCTTTATATCCATATCAAAAGTAGAAAACCGATGCCCTCCACATCTTGTGATCTGGACTTTTTTTTTACTTTCTAGTTCAGTGCATATGCATTTTATTTATAGAAGCAGAATTTTCTCAGTTCTAGTGAGCTAACAGTTCCCTTTAGGGATTCAGAGTCTAGGCTCAGACCCTGAAATAAATCCCATCTTAAAATACTAGTAATCAGTTTCAGTGTCTGTCTTTATGGCTCATACAAGGTTCCTGACTCGTGACAAGCACATACAAACAATTAAGGGTTTTAAAATGAGAAAACTTTTTTAAGCCTGGTAACTATGATGAGTTTTTTTATAGTCATCGTATTTCAAGTTATCCTTTTATGTATCTTTTCCCCCCTCAGAGCTATCAGCTCTTTGATTCTTTTTTGCCAAGGAATTGTTGTTTTTTTTTACTTATGAGTTTGAATGTCCCTTGGTATCTTTCACTTCTCTTTTTTAAGACCGCGATAAACATGTTGCTAGAGAGTTGAGACACTAACACAATGTGTCGGTCCACCAATTCGTTATGGTCACCATTCAAATTATGTAGTGTCGATTTCAGTCGTTCTTCCTCATAACTCTGTTGTATCATACGACTGGGCAGGTGACTGCTGAGAAATAGGAAGTTAACAATAGGAAAGTTGAAATCATCACATAGACTCTAGTTTGAAATCGTTCATCTGTGTCAATTTTGAGGAAAAGATCAAGATACGAAGATTACCCTCTACTTTCGGTAGTATCCTTAATAAAAAAAAGTTCCCAGTTAAATGTGGGTTAATGGATGACAGGACATCACCAATATAACTGAAAGTGAAATTACAGAACTTTGCAAGATGCTTTTTCTTTTTGTCTTTGAGAAGGTTCTGTATGAATTCTGCTTCATATGAGTACAAACGCAAATCTTCAAGTAGTGATAAACATTTAGTACCCATTGCAATACCGACTGTCTGCGAAATATCAATCCACCAAACTCAACAAATATGTTGTTCTATCAAAATAATACGTCCCGTAAACGGGCATATAAAAATCTAGCATTTTGATAATATCATCAATAGTGCATGTGTTTTGGGAATCACTGGGGTTCTTCACAAAGTAAGATGTTTTATGACCCAAAACATAAGTTTCCCTTGTAGAAAAAAAGCTCTGTTTGATCAATGAGACGATGTTGATAAACTCATCATAGATACCAGGATTGAAATTTTATATTGACGCCAGACGCGCGTTTCGACTACAAAAAGGCGATCTTTCATTTGAGCATGGATAATAGTAGTGTAAAGTGTAGAAAAATTACTGGTTCATTAAAAAAAATATCAAAAAAATCTAAAATCCTGAGAAGTAGGGGTATAACACAAAACTATATGATTTATGGGCGGTGAGATGCATTTACTAGATATTTGAACATTCTAATATATGGCAGACGGTAGGGATTACCTGTATATAATTCAATTCATCTTGAAATAAAACAAGACAAGATGTGGTTTAGGGGTGGAGATCTCAACAATATGCATAATATTTCAACATTATTAAATGACAGGGGACACAGGAATGACTACTGGGGACTCACCCAAAATATCTTTCAATGCATCTGGACAAGCCAAACAAGAAAATGCATGGATAAGGCGTGGGGATCTCAACCATAATCAAAACTTTTAATATTCCCAAACGACAAGGGATGGTGACCTATATTTATTCAATGTGCCTTGTCATGAAGATAATTACTCCTTATCTTTTAGGTTTGTGTAATATGAAAAATAATATTCGAGGTGATAGGTCACATAGGTGACCTTTGACCTTTAAGTCATTACTGAGGACCCTGTGCCTTTAGTACTTTCCGTTCTCATGTTTAAACATGTTACAAAATTTGGTCAAAAGTAGAGTTTCCATTCAGTTCAGTGACATTTTTTCTGAAACCATGGACATTTATCAAGTGATCAAATAAAAAGCATATACATTTCACTTCTTTTTTTCGCAAACTTGCATCTGAAAGTTCGAAAACGAAAATTAAACTAATGCTGTGAGCCTTGTAAATTGTTTCACAGAACATAGAGCAATAAAGATTATTTAATTGTGTAAAAAAAGATAAACCGTTAACAACAACAACTTCAACCCCAACACATAATGAGCCTGCATCAAGCCATGGAAGGAGCCTTTAGTGTATTATAGTGGTTGGTATTTGTGCTGTCTACCATATTTGATTTTTGTTACGTTATTTTACTTAAAGCAAGCCGTTATTTGCCCCTATCAAATTGTTTAACTTTTTGCTATTCAGGTCTTTTATAGCTTAAAATCATATAGGATTTGATAATCATTAAAGTCTGTATAGTGACCTGTAGTTGTTCACACCTTTTTTGTAGTTTTATGGTTGATGGTTTACTCATACGAAATAATTCCACACCTCTTTAACTTTAAATATTGAACCAATTCCTTTGCCAATGTACAAGTAACTTTTAACATGCAAATTTCCATGCAGGGGTTATTTGTCAAGGAGAAATGGATAACCTTTAGAAATTGTAGCAGATATAAGCAATCAGCATTCAACATACTAATCTTGTTATATTACCATTGAAGGTAATGTAACCCTTTTCAAAATGAAATTTATACTAAATATCAGAATCACTTTATGTTAACCAGATCTTAATTCAGCTGAACACATATTTCAATATTTCATTTGATCAAAAATTGCTCTAAACAAAAGTCTCATTCAACTTGTAAATACTAATCAATCTTACCAACTTTAACAATACAGGACAGAGAAGAATGGGTGACTATATATTTTCCTGTTGACTTGAGCTGGTCAGATATATGCAAAACTGTATTTTCTGCAATGAAAACGAAATATCTGAAGGATATGCACAATTCTATAATTATTGTATAAACGATTATGAATTGATAATCTAATCAAGAGAATAAATGAACAGTGTTCGAATGATCCCTTGCAGTTAAATATATCAATGGATAATGGATAACACATAAAAGGGAAAAGGGAACAAACAAACTATATGACTTAATACAACAAAGAAGTCACATTCGTTGTTTGTCAGTGTACAAGTGTAATGTTAGTTGACAAAAAGTAAGCCTATTGATCAGTTAAATAGAGATTTGTTTTTAAATCGAGTTTTTTTCAGATGCTTCTTCTGGATCTTGAAGAAAATTTTCTCCAAGACTCATTGTATTTCATGAAGTTTTCAACAAATTTATTGATGTCTTAATTTAATCTCAGACTTTTGTAGATGTTAACTGCAAAACGCCATCTATCATTAAGATACTGAAAAATTTTATTTTTTTTTTTAAAAACTATTATTAAACTTTGCATTAATCATTTTCTCTTAATCATAAAAAAGCTAATGCAAATTGTTCACAAAATTCTATGAAGTTTTAACAAAGTTATTGATGTCTAAAAAACATTACCTGTGTACATTATCTAAATGTTAACTGTATAAAAGTAAGTTCTTTAACATCGTAAATCAGAATAAATACCAAAAAAAACTAAATTTTTTTTTCAAATTCTGATCCTTAAACAGCTCCGTAAAATTCCACAAAGGTTGAAAAAGTTATTGATGTCTGGAAAGCTTTAAATTCAGACTGTATCTTAATGTTAACTTCAAAAAATCTAAGTCCATTTATCAATAAAATACAGAATTTTTTCTTCAATTTTACTTTGGATACTGTTTCTTGCCCACACAAAGCTTCTGTCATAGTTTCGTAAAATTCCATCACGGTTTGACAAATTTGTTGACATTTAAATAACCTTTAACACATAAATGTAGATGCCTTTGCAGACGCTGTGGTGTTTAAAAGCAATGTCTCGCTTCTGCGCTGGATTCACAAAAACGAATATTTTTTTTCAAAATCTTTTCATTTTGTTGGTATATAACCATTCATTTTCCAACAAGAGTGCACACGCTGAAATGGCTCGCCTGCTTTACTGACCATTGATTTTATGTTGATAGTCCTAAATAAAAAGCTTTATTACAAGTATCACATAAACTTAACATGATCCAAGAAAATTAGGTCAAGGTCAGATAAACCAAACCGGAAATACATGTACACCTTACAATAATTCCATACACCAAATAAAGTTGACCGCTTATAGTTTCTTCGAAACGAACTCAAACAAGAAAAACTAACATTGACCAATGAACCATGAAAATGAGGTCAAGGTCAGACGAAACATGCCAGACAGATATGTACACCTTACAATCAATCTATGCATTAAATACAGTTGACCTATTGCTTATAGTATCTAAGAAACAAACTTCACCTGAAAACTTAACATTGACCAAAGAACCATCAAAATGAGGTCAAGGTCAGATGATGCCTGCCAGACAGACATATACATCTTACAATCATTCCATACACCATATATAGTTGACCTATTGCTTATAGTTTAACAAAAACAGACCAAAACATAAAAACTTAACACTGAGCAATGAACCGTGAAAATGAGGTCAAGGTCAAATAAAACCTGCCAGGCTTACATGTACATCCTAAAATATTTCCATACACCAAATATAGTTGACTTATTGAATATAGTATTAGAAAAGAAGACCAAAACACAAAAACTTAACTTTAACCACTGAACCATGAACATGAGGTTAAGGTCAGATGACACCTGCCAGTTACACGTGTACACCTTACAATCGTTCCATACACCAAATATAGTAGACCTTTTGCTTATAGTATCTGAGATATGGACTTGACCTTGCAAGGTACGCACATACTAAACATAGTTATCATATTACTCATAATAAGAAAGAAATTAACATTACAAAAAAATCTTAACTTTTTTCAAGAAGTCACTGAACCATTAAAATGAGGTAAAGGACAATGGACATATGACGGACGGAAACTTCATAACATAAGGCATCTATATACAAAATATGAAGCATCCAGGTCTTCCGCCTTCTAAAATATAAAGCTTTAAAGTAGTTAGTTAACGCCGCCGCTGTCGCTACCGCCGGATCACTATCCCTATGTCGAGCTTTCTGCGACAGAAGTCACAGGCTCGACAATAAAATTAAAAACTTAAAAATTTTATTATTATTGATTTCATAAGTTGTATAAACACAGCTCAAATTCCTTACATACACACATTTCAATGATAGTGGGCATTTATTGAAGTATACTTAGGAAAGTTCATTGGGTATAAGTATATTTTCAAATTGAATCAATTATGTAAGTTGCATCATTTATAAGATTTATTTTGTAAACATGTTTATGGATCCTTAATTTGAAACAATAACAAATTGTTATATTTTTAAATATAGAACCAGTTCCATTGGTACACCAGGCAACAAAAGATGAGTTTGAGTTGGACTGTTCAGTTGTCAGTCCAAGTAGATGTAGAGATATCCAAATAAATGTTTAAAACTTTTTAACACATTTATAATAACATCTCAAATTAAAATTTTACATTTTACAGATTTGTTTAGTGAATATAACGGTTAACAAGTATAAAAGCTGTTACATGTATGGACATTTTTTGTAATCTTAAAAGTTAAAAAAAATTAAACTATGTTAACAAATAATTTGACAATTGAAATATAATGGAGAGATATTATCCAAGAGTAAATACTTTTCATACGTTGTTTTCTTTTTTTTTTTAATTTAAATGTGATAACATGTGATAAATGTCAATGTTAAATTTACACTTTTTTACTCAGAACAGTCCACTAATGTTGAGAATATGCCCAAAAATGCTATAGGACGACATTTTAAGAGCTGTTGCAACTATCTAGAGCAGTTAAGAGAAAAGTACGATTTCTTTATCTTGAATATAAACAATAATATGATGCCTTTTAAAAAAGAGGACACAAGGAGCCAGTATCACTCAAGTGGCATTATTTTGCACAAAAATCAATTGATATAATTCAACAAGATTATTTGGTGAAAATAAGAGGTAGGTAAATTTTATCACTTTGCGCATGTTTGCCCATTCAGATTTTCCCGATCTATTATGGTTTTTAAGATATAAGACAATTAGTGGATTTTAATGGAATCTAAATATATGGTCAGATTCAGCATATCCAAGTACACCAAGAATTCAATTTATTTATTCATTAATGGACAATATAAGCTAACTTTTATAGGGGGTTCACTTCTTCTAGAACAAGATATATGTATACAGCATTCAGAAAATTAATCTATACAGAAAAAATGAAGAAAAAAAAAACAATTTCAAAAATATCATTCCTCATAAATACAATGTCTTTAAAAAAATCTATAAACCTTACCTTTATTTTTTTTTTAATTATATATTTATGAACAGTAAATTTCAAACTACATTGTATATGTATACATAATTTCTTCTCTAAAATTAGATTTAATGCTGTATCTATTTTTAACTATGACTCTACTTACAATTTCTATTAATTGTGCAATACAGCTCTGAATTTGGATTGTGATTAAATATTTGACAAAGCATAGTTTTTGGGACAGAATTAAATACATGGTTAAAATCAGCATATGAAAGAACCCCAAGAATTCAATTTTGATGTAATCAAACAAAGTTTAATTTTGGACCTTTGGACCTCAATGGTGACCAATTTGATAACGGGGCCCAAACACATATAAGAACAGAGTTCTTATGTCCCCCACGTTGCACAAATTTTGTCCATCCAAGGATCAAGGGCAATAACTAAAAAATACTATTTTTTTGTTCTTTAAAACTGTTGAAATGAATGCTTCAGAGCAAATTCAATGTGATTTCCAATATTATTAATATTTCCAAGGGCATAACTCATTAAATAAATGGGGAATGTGTCCATGGGACACAGATGATGCCTCCGCTTGTCTATCATATAAAGTTATAAAGGGACATAACTGAAAAACGGTTATAGTGACCCTACTCAAATTTGTACTTGATCTGAGTTTTGTGGTAATAACAATTGTGTATAAGTTTCATAACATTTGGTTGAGGCAAACTTATGTTAGAGAACGGAAACAAAAATTCAGCAATGTTTCCATTTGTAAAAAGGCATAACTCTAGAACAATACGAGTGACACCCAAAAAATACAAACTGGATCTGTATTTTGTAGTAATAACAATTGTGTATAAGTTTCATAACATTTGGTTGCGGCTAACTTAAAGGGAAAATTCGCGATTTTTTACTTTTCATCTTATTATGTTCATAATACCATAAAAAACATATTTACCAAGTTTTATCTGGATATGAACACTAATAAAAAAGAAAATTGGGAATTAATAATTTAATTTATTCCAACTTCCTGACTTATGTGACGTAGTTTAAGTCTTTTTGCATGCCGGGAGTGAATAAATCTCGTTGTAAGTCTTGTTCGTTAATCATCTAATAACGCGATTTAAAGCGCATCGACGACTTTTGGCGTAGCTATTAACCAACTAATAATTAAGAAAGTAAAGTGATCCGCCGTGCAACTTTCAAAATTAAAATGTACAATTTATATTTAAAGGATTTCTGATATGATTATAGTAATAAAAGTAAATCATACAATAGAATATATTTTCATGAATTTTTTTTCCGACGGATATTTTGAACAAATATATATAACTGATATTGTTTTACAAATGCATGTTTGTATTCTCACCTGAAGGCTTTTACTTTAGTCGAGTACTGTGTAAATACAATGTGTATTGTACTGTGACACTAAGTGACCACCTGTTGAATGCGTGGTTAAATTCAAGGTAATTAAAAGATTAGCATTCTGTAATTCTATTCTTTTGATCTTCACTCGGTGAATTTTAGCCAACACGGTTCACCGTTACAGGTGTGAACAACATTTCGTATGAATGATAAAAACATTAATTATTTGGGGAGGAATATGGTGGCAAAATACCTGA